TTGATTAATTAATTAAGATTAGTTTAGAAATAGATTTAGAATTTTGATTTTTATTAGAAATTAGAAATAGATTAGAATTAGAATTATTAGTTAATTATATTTAATTAGAGATTAGACTTAGTTTAGAATTAATTATTTATTAGTATAGAAAAATTAAAATAAAATAAATAAATAAAAATATAAAGGAAAAAGAAGAAAAACACGGCTGAAACACGTGAGAAGAAATGACATGCGGATGAGGATAAAAGGCCTAGCCACTATTCATCATCTCTCTCCTGGAGAAACCCTAAATCCACAGCCGCCTCTTCTTCTTCCCAACCGCGCCTCAACTCTCCTTCTTCTCACTCAAACCAGTCACCCCTAGTCCATCTCTTCTCATTTTCCGCCGTGAAACCTTTCTTTTCTCTTCCATCCTTCCTCTTCTCATTATCCGCCACGAAACCCATCTCCTTCCTCTGCCGAAAACATGAAACCCTCTTCTTCCATTCTCCTTCATTACCTTCAAACAACAAAACCCAAATCTCAGAACACAAATCCTCCCCTTCAAAATCCACAATAGAGACAGAAAACAGAGGAAGAGGTGATTCGAGGCGAAAGGGCATTCAAACCGCGAACAGACAAGTGAGAAAGGGAGGTCGAATTCGAAACCAAACCTGGATAACCAATAGCGAATCAAGGAAGATTGAGGTCGAGAAACCTGCAAACCTTTAATGGGTTGTTAAAGATGAACGGATCGCGACGATGGTGATGGTTTTATCGCGTTTAACGTTTTGCTGTTTTTGAAAGAAGGAAAAAGGAAATACGATGCAATCTGGAAACTTCAAATTTTAGTCTTTTTAATTTATTTTACTTTTTTTATTTTTGTAATTAAAATATTTTAAGTTTCAATGGGTTCTGTTGATGAGTCTTGGGCCTTTAGAGCCCGTTTTATTCTCTTTTGTTTTCACACTCTCACCTATGTTATTACCCCCCTTGTTTTTAATTCCTTTTATAAAATAGTTTTTAGAACTTTAAAATTATTTTCAATTAATTTTTTATAAATTTTTCTTAACATATTCTTTCTAAATAACTTTTGAGTTTCATTTTCCAAACTAATTTTAAGATTTTTTAATATATTTTTTTAAATAGTTTTTAGAATTGTAAATATATTTTTTTTCTAATTAGTTTTTTTAAGAAATTGTTAATATGTTTTATAAACTAGTTAAAGTTTTATAATATTTTTCTAAAAATTATTTTTTAGAGCTTTTGAATATATATCTCTAAAGCTAGATTTTGTTTTTTTTTTATATTATTTATCATCGAGATTTTATTTTCGTATTACCTCGTTTTGGTCGATGAAGAGACCTCCAAGTTGTAGTTTGTCAAATTATTGATGAATAGCAACAAGTCTGAGACCAATATTCTTTTACATCTTCATTTCCGATTTTTATTTCTTTTTATCATTTTTTTATAGATTTCGGTCGATGACGAGACCTCTAAAAATCGATATTAGTCAAACTATTGATGAATAATGATGGATCCGAGACCACCACTCTTTCTCTCCTCATTTTTTCTTCATTTTAGATTTTATTTAAATTCTTTTGATCTATGATGTCTTTCAATTCGTAAGCGTCATTTTATCGAAGTCGATAACCTTCTCGATTTCAAATCTATAGAAAATGACCATTTGGTCATTTTCTTTACTTTGGGATCATGATAGGCTACTTTCGATTAATCGACATAATGTTTGCGATTAAGACGAGATCTCACCTTTCTTTGGTCTGTGCGACACGATTAAATCGGAGAATGATCCTCAATATCATTTCTCTATCTTGTCTTTTGCACGGATATCAATCTACGCGACCTCCTATAGTTCGAATATCATCATAAGTCGAGCTACGACGGTTTAACGTTATATTCTGTCCCGATTCAATTTACTAAGAAACTGACGACTAACTTTTATTTTGCTGTCAAATATACAACTGCTTTACCTTCTGTCAAATATCAACTGCTTTAAATTCAGTCATTATATTCTTGTGCATATTGTTATATATCCTGTATATTGTATGTTTTGTATATATCCAAATTCACTTGTACATTCTCTCAAAACACCTAATCAATATCGAAACCATAAAACCCTAAATTGGTGGATTGTTGGTTATATATCCTGTATATCATCTGTATCATGTATATTCGTGTTCGTTTCCTATCTTATTCACATCTTTTCCAAACTTATTTTTCAAAACTTTTCTCCTAAAAACCTCGGTCCCGTACCGAGTGCATCTTCAAACTCTTTTCTTAAATAAAACTTGAATGGTCGTGGAGTGGTTAAGCGTAGGCCTTCTCCTATCCCAAGTGCTTAACCGTACCTTTAGGGTTTACTATCTCGAAGCACTTACCATTCAAGATTAAAAAACATTTTAATAAGAGAATGAAGTTCTCTTTGTATTGAATTAAAGAGAAAGGATTGAGTGCAGTCTTCTTCCTCTCCGAGTGTCAGGATACTCACTGTAGAGTGTGTGATCTCGACACTCGTCTTTCAATACGAAGACACGCTTGTATTCGCCACACCATTTTCATAATAAAACATTGAGATAAAAAAATTGGGTACTACCTGCAAGGGGTTACTATCCAAGGACCTATTTCAACCCTAAAAAAAACTCACAAATCAAATGTGACATCTTGCCTCGATGGCAAAAACTAATCTTTCAAAAAGGATATGTTAAGTCTGTTCTACCGCAAACAGGTAACACCTAAGTCTCCAACGAGCGAGCAACAATACACCTAACTGCTAGAATGCACACGTTAGCATCATCCACAAAACACCGGTTAACAAGTTTCACGAACTACGTTGCTCTGATTTCTCATACCAGATGAGAATACGTAGGCACAAGAGGGCGATGTCTTGGCGAACACCTTTTTTTTTCTTTTATCAGTAGAAGGCCGAACTACGGCTGCTCTGATTCTTTACCTCTCTTAAGTAAAGATACGTAGGCACGAGGGCCTCAATCCTTGTCGAGCACACTCTTTCATCTATACTCGTAGTTCCCCGAACTACGTGACTCTGACTTTCTCATATCCGTTGAGAATACGTAGGCCTAGAACCGCAAAGTCCTACCGAGTCTCTTCTCCCCCTTTATCTCTCTTTTCCCTGTTTCTAGCCTTTCCCTTTATCCCTTAGGAACACTATTAGAAAGCAATATCTTTAAGCAAATAACTTCACACGTAGACAAACAAATGGTTCCCATCGAGTACGATGGATGCGAGGGATGTTAATACCTTCCCTTCGCATAACCGCCTTCCGAACCTGTTCTCTTGGTTGCGAGACCATCTTATCCATTTCTTTCTTAGGGTTTTCTCGATGTTTTCCCTTCTCCTCATGGGATAAATAAAGTTCGATGGCGACTCTTGTGTCTTTCATTCTCGCCTCTCCGTCGTTACATTTTTTCGAGTAGCGACACATGTGTCGACCTGTATTGCTCATGATTCGACTTTTATAGGTCATGTGTCAACCTATGCAGTCAACATATCAAACAGAGGCTACAAGATTTAAAACTGAGTTATATAGGTCGACCTGAAGTTCGTATGTGTCGACTTGTAAGAAAAAATTTTCTTCTATCTGTCGACCTATGTAGTTAGCACATCAAACATAGGCTACAAGCTTTAAAAATATGTTATATATGTCGGCCTATAACACGTATGTGTCGACCCATATGCATGTTTTTCACATAAAAACATGTTTTTAATGCATGAAACATTTTCAAAATCATTTTTAATGTGTTAAAACTTTTCTAAATCATTTTCAAAATATTTTTATGCTTCCTAATGCTAAGATGCACATTTAGACTCAGAGGATATCGTCCAACATACATAAATGCTAAAGTATCCTAGTTTTGACATCATACAAAATACATCTAACGAAAAGTTGCACTCACATTGGGATGGAGACATAGGAGTCATTTGATGAACAAGAGTCGACTATGAAAGAACTCCATGCCGATGGCCTGTCCCGGAGGAGCCCATGACAATCAGGTTTTTTTTCAAACCCTAATAAAACATCCAAAAAAAACGTGGTGTCGTGCAAACAAGATATCTCCTTCCTTATGTCTTATTTATACAATCTAGGCAATAAAAGTGTAGCATTGTGTCTTACAAACCATGTGTCTAAAAATTAGCTCGATACAATGCTTAACGAATTTATACTCACTAATTTTCTAACACTGATTAAAAACAAAAAATCCTAATACTAATCCTCAAGTTGCTTCTTTTCCCCCTCTCTCATTAAAATCTTTTTCAATACATAACAAATTGATCACATCCAAATTTTATTAAACTTCATTATATGATACTCCCTCAAGTCTAAAACATTTTTATTTATAAAATTTATTAAAAAGTCAATGTATTTAATTTAAAATATATATTAAATATAAATTATTTAATAAACTTAAAAATAAATTTTTTATTTATATTTGAGATAAAAAAAAATGGATAATACAAATTAACAGGTACTATATCATTATATATCCGATCATAATCAACGTTTACCTTTTGAAATTTTCAACTTTAAATTAAAGTAATAAAAGATACATAAATTTTATCTAAAACAAATTTAAACATAAATTTGGATATTTTAACAAATAACTAAATATTATCTTATAAAGTTCAAATTAGAAAAAATCATCATAGCAATTTGCTTCCTTATAACTCCATGTAATTCTAATTATAAAAGATAAATGGGTCAATAAAACTAATGTATTTAAACATAAGTTTGGATCAAATACATCAAACAAAAATTTTAGACAAAAATACTATTTTTTGTTAGACAAATTTTTTAAAAAGGAAATATATTTCAACATAAAAGGATAACTATAATTATATTACTGTTCCAAAATAAATAATTAATGAAAGTTGAACAACAAATAGACCTCAACTTTTCTTATATTTTTCTATCACCTTTGTCTCTTTCTCTCTGTCATTCTCTCACACTTTCTCTGCAGAAAGAAACAACAGCTTCTGAAATAATGGTGAAAGCTTCATTAATTCGTACAATAGTTGGAATCGTAGGTACGTGTTTCATTCTCACCAGTGTTTCAAATTTTATATTTATTTTTGCATGAAAATATATATATTAAATTAAAATAATTTCACGTACATATAGTTTATTAATTTTTTTATCGAGTTTTTATTATGTTCATAATGTAATTATTTTCTCTTTTATGTGTGTGCAGGCAATGTGATCTCTTTAGGGTTGTTAATCTCACCAGCGTAATAATTCCTTTCTCTGTTCACTCTATTTTTATCAAATTTAAATATTTGTCAGTTAATATTTTTTTAGAATATTTAGTACATAGATGACACTTAATTGACAAAAAAATATAAATTTAAGATTTATAAAATTTAAATGTTGTTGTATTTTACAGTCCTACTTTCTATAAAATCATAAAGAAGAAGGATGTAGAAGAGTTCAAGTCAGATCCATATTTAGCAACATTGTTGAATTGTGCATTTTGGGTGTTCTATGGAATGCCTTTTGTGCATCCAAATAGCACTTTGCTTGTCACCATCAATAGTGTTGGATTTGTTTTTGAAATCATCTATCTTACCATATTTTATATCTATGCCACCAACAAAGGAAGGGTAAATATGTCTTTTTCCCTCCTTTTACTTCATTTTCATATTTTTTCTACTTTCTAACTTATCATATATTCTTCCTGAAATTTCAGAAAAAAATATTTATTGTTGTTCTAGTCGAGACTATTTTCTTCGTCGTTATTGTTCTTATAACATTGTTTGCACTTCACGGCACTGCCAAAAGATCTTTGGTGGTTGGTATTTTATGCGATATCTTCAACGTAATGATGTATACTTCTCCTCTTACAATTATGGTAAGTCTCTTTTAAGTTTATATTGTAAAATTTGATTTATAATCATGTTTATTCTAATAATTATATTAATTATTTCTTGATGTTGTGATGATGATCAGGCAAAAGTTATAAAAACTAAGAGTGTGAAGTATATGCCATTTTGGCTCTCTCTAGCTAACTTCCTCAATGGTTTGAGTTGGACAATATATGCTATTCTTCCCCCTTTTGATATTTATGTTTTGGTAATTAATTAATCTATTAATTATTTGTTAATCTTTTTTATTAAAATATGTTGAAGAAAATGTTTTAAAACTTTCATGCATTCATTATTCTTGTAGATAAGCAATGGTATTGGAGCAGTTTCAGGACTTGTTCAACTTATTCTATATGCTTGTTATTGTTCTTGCAATGGTGAAAGTAATGAAGATGATAACAAAAAGGATGATCTTGAGATGAAACCAACACTTGTTACTCAAGTCTCACTTAACAATGGTATTGGAGAAGCAAAACGATGAGTCTGAATTAACATCAAAGCTTTGTTAAATTTTTGTCTCTTTACATTTTTTTTACACTTTCTCATGTACTTTAAATATTGTCCTTTGTGATTCGAAGGAATCTATCTATAAAGTTAAAAAATAATTGAGACGAGTTTGATTAATTTTGTTTTTAAGAATATTTCAAAGTATATTTTAAAAATATTTCATCAATACTATTTTAAAGAGTATTTTATTGTTTAATTCATTTTTAAGTATATTTCACCAAGTATCTAGAGGATAACAAAAGAACAAACACGTTTATTAATAACATTAAAGGTTTCAATTATCAATAATATCAACAATATGATTAATATCATTGATGTTTTAGATAAACAATGACTTGAAAAACTAACGGACAATGGGTGGAGGTGAGGCGTAGAAGGCCACTCCATAGCAGGATTAGATATTCAGTGTGGACTGCAAGAAGGGGTAAAGATATGGGTGTTGAAGGCGTAATATCATTTTTCTTTATTGAATTTTTGAAAACTTTTGGTGTGAGGAAAATGGCTGATGTGTTTAAAGAATACGAAATACTTATGGAAGTCTTTATTCCTGCAAAGAGGGACCGGCGTGGAAAGAGATATGATTTTGTCCACTACCGAAAAGTATTGGTTGAATGTATTTTGGCTGCCAAACTTAATAGCATATTTATCAAAGGAAAGAAGATGTTTGTCAACATACAAGGTTTAATAGAGGAAGAAACAAGGAGAATGTAATGCAGAGGGAGGGTGTAATGGAGGGTGGAGAAGAATAATGGTCTATCAGGGAGATCGTATGCTCAGGTTGTGGGTGAAGGTGAGAAAAACACTTAGAAAGGGGGGGGGGGGGGGGGGGGGGGGGGTTTGAATAAGGGTTTTTTAAAACAAATTGGAAGATAGAAAATAACAAGGTATTTTTATTCTGATTCGTTTGAACTCAAACTACTCTAGTCCACCCTACCAAGGTGATTTGCCTTTCTCAACAAGGACTTAACCCACTAAATCAAACTGATTACAGTGTTAACCACTAAGACCAACAGTCTTAGTCTTCTCAAGAAATTCTGACCACAACTTGGTCTTCTTAAGGAATTCTTTTTACAAAATATTTAAACTAACAATTTGTGTTTAAGGTTTTGCTTCTAACAAGCTATATCACAACAGTGATGTTTACACAAGATTAAGAACGAATATGAAAACTGTTAAGCTTGAAGAATATTTGAATGAGAGCTTGTGAGTTGTTTTTCTTTCAAATGATCCGTCAACGTTGGAAAGATGTTGAAGCTTGTTTAAATACTACTTCAACTTCTTATCTCAAAGACTGTGCATTGCTGTATATTCAGCTGCCTCTGTTGCCTTTTTGTCTTCTATTGACTTTTCCTTTCTAGGAAGAGGAATGTTCAGACATGTGCTTTGTGTCTGAATTCTTGTGTCATGCATAAATGAGGAATATTGCCGTTGGAGCAGACGTTGGGATTAGCAACGGATCTTTTCATTGAGCTGACATCTTTTCAATTGAATAAATATATCCTTCAATTAATACTAACATCAGATCCTCTGATGTAGTTCCTTGTTCTTCAGATCAGAGATTTGCAGTAATAGTGCTTAAGCGTGAATGTTACAATCAGCGCAGAGTTGAATATCAGAGCCTCTGTACTTGCAGCGTGAAGTACTTCCAGAGTCTTCTGAAACAATGTTGTACGCTCTTTACTCAAATTCTTCTTAGTTTCACTCAGAGTCATCTGTAGCAGATCAGAGTCTCTTCAGACAGTGCTCAGAGTCTTCTGAAATGTTGCTTCTAACGCTCAAAGTCTTAACGTTTTTTTTTCAGTTGCAGATGTAATTTTTGCTTCCAGATGAATATATAATTTAAGACCTGAAACAAAATTACTTAAACACAATTAGAGTATATATTTCCTTTATACAAAATTTCATTTATGTTATCATCAAAACAATGAGATATATAAACACCAATATGTGTTCTAACAATCTCCCCCTTTTTGATGATGACAAAAACATAGAAAATTTTGTTCAATAGTAAGAAAAAAAATAACTCCCCCTGAGATTGTGAATTTCCCCCTAAATTGAATACCATAAGAAAAAAATACTTCCCTTTTTGATTAAGTATTCTTTTCAGAATCAGAGCCTGATTTATTCTTTTCAGAATCAGAGCCTGGTTTGGATCCTGATTTGGATCAGAGCCTGATTTAGGAGCTTTCAGTAACGTTTATGAATTAAGTCAAATGCAACGTTATAGTTCTGAAAGACTAAAATTCAATGTTAGTTATAATTTATTATGTCTGAATTCCATTCTAGTAACTATTTATTTGAACAATTATAATTTTCATTTTCTCCCCCTTTTTGTCATATCAAAAAGAAAAAACATTTTAAGACACAAAAGAAGAACAGAGAAAAAGAATATGATAAAACAGATAGAAACAGAAACCAAACAGATGCATTGATAAACAAAATATTCAGAGGATAACCATATAAGCAGAACAAACATAATGTGCACAAACAACAGAAAAACAACTAAGGTTGACGAGAGGCTATCATCTTCAGAAGGTTTGTGATCTCAGAAGTAGATTCTTCTTGCCTAGCCATCCATGTCTTGATTTCATCTGTTGTCTTTTCTTGCTTAACCGTCCAAGATCTGATCTCTGTGTTGCTGGCTTCAAGTTTAGAAAACTTTTCTTCAAGATCTGGATTCTCTTTCTTGACTGTAGAAGATGCAGGAGCAGATGCAGATGCAGTCTCAACAACCATAGCAGATGCATTCTCTTGAATCACTGAGTCAGATGCTTGATTCAGAACCATCAGAGCAGACTGATTTTACACTAGAGTTTCTTCAGCAACATACGCTTCTGGAAGAGCATCTTCAGACTTAGATTCTTCAGCAGGTGCATTGTCCAGAGGAAGAATTGGAGATCTACTCATATTCAGAAGAGTTTGTCTGATAACTTCAGCAAATCTTACCTTTGCATCATCAGAGAAAATGGTTCGAAGGTTTGAAGCTACATAATTAAATCTTGAAATGAATCTATGCCAGATAGCCTCAGAATCATCAGGATTCAAACTTGACATGCACTCCTTCTTGACAGTAGACAGCCACATGTTTAATTCCTTTTTAAACCCAGCAAATAAAGTACTAACATCCATCCTAGGTTTAGGTTTTAGATAGTTTTCTAGAGAGGGTGTTTTGGTGGTTTCAGATGAGGGGGGTATGGAAAAAGAAGGAATGATGAAAAAAGGACGAGGATATGGTGTAGAAGGTTTAGTAACAGTCTTTGGTTTAACAGAAGAAGGTATGATGTACATAAATGGTTTGATTTTGTGTACAGATGGAATGACATCAGAAGGCATAGGACAATATGGAACAAAAGCTTATGTAAGCTTTGGAGTTGACTGAGAAATGATAGGTTCAGATGAAATGGATACATCTGGTTGTTTTGATTCATAACCATAGAGTGAAGGGGGTGAGTTCACTTCTGAAGGTAAATCAGATTCAGAAGAATCAGATGATGCAGAAGTGTGACAGGATGTTGAGGAAACGTCAAAAAGAATTTTCAAGGGTTGAACATCAAGAATATCAGAATTAGATATAAATGATTCAGAAGTTTTAGGTTGATCTGGTTGAGGATCAGAGGGAATGGGTTCTTCTGGTTGTGGGTTAGAAGGGATAGTAACATAATGAGTTGGTTCAGATAAATTAGGTTGAGGAGGTTCAGAAGAAATTTGTTCAGATATATGAACATTTTCAGAAGGTAGAGGTTCAGAAGTTTGTTTTGGTTTAGGTGTAGAAGGAATAGGTTGAGATATTTATGGTTCAGAAGGAATGGGTTCAGATTCATGAGGAGGATAAGGTGAGGGTATAGGTTCATAAGAAGGGGGTTCAGATGCTAGTACTTCTTTAATTGTTTCTAAGATGGAATCTAAACTAGAAAAAGGAGGGTTACCTTTTTGTTTCTTAACCCGCTTTGGTTTTACAGAAGCTGCCTCGCCAGAAGCTTTCCTTTTTGGCGTAGAAGATCCTTCTTCTGAGACTTTCCTTTTCTTTCTCTGTCTGTCTCCATAAAAATCTGGTCCAAGTTCGCCTGCTCTTTGAATCAGATGTTTTGGTAGAGGAGTTCCATCTGCTAGACAAGTTGCTATATATGCCAGAATAATTTCCCTTGGTTCATTAGCATAAAACAGAGGGAAATCATCTACTGGTATCCTTCTCTTGCTGACTTCTTCAGAGTTGATCTGATCAGGTGCAGCAGTGAGTTCTTCTACAATTTTCATCCTCTAAAGACTTTTCCCGTTCAGAGGTTTTCCAACCACTGAAGCTAATTCTTCCTTCATTCCAGCTTCTGTCAGATGTCCAACCAAGCCATTCTCAGTCAGAATATCTGAGATGAGTCGTCCCATAGGTATCCAATTTCTCATCTTTTGATGCTTGGTTCTAACTTCTTCTCTAGATTGTTTCACATGAGTCCATAGATGATTGAATAGTAGATAAGGAAGATCCACTTTTGTGCTTTGACTCAGACAATACATGAAGTACATCTAATCACTGTTGACATACTCAGGAGAGTTTGAAGATTTCCTATGATGTATGCACCCATAAAAATCTTAGCCCAAATCCTGTAGGTTGGCTTCAGATCTTTCACTTTGTTAGAGGCTTCTCCAGATGTGCAAACTTCACTGTAAACCTCTGTCATATCAATACGCCCAGCTAGAAGATTTATAACACCATCAGTTTCTTCATAACCAATAAGCTTCCTGATCAAACCCTCAGTGATGAGAATTTCCTTACCCAGAACTGAAGAAACAATAAACTTAGGGTATGTAGTTGCATGAATCCAAAATTCTTTCACCAAGCATGGATAAACTGGTCTCATCAGTCTATCAAATAATTTTGTCCAACTTTGAGCATCAACAATGGGACGAAGATCAAACCCATTTTCTGCAATAGATTCAAAATTCACTATTCATTCACACAGAACTTCAAGTTTGTCAACA